CAGGAACCGTTAAAAAAAGTGCATTTTACACTTATTTTATGTTTTTTAGCCAAAAAAAGGTCCAAAAATTTTTTCGCCTCGCTCCGCTCGGTTAGATTTACATACTTCGCCCCCCCTTTCCAAAATCCTAGATCCGCCCCTGTTGGCGAGATGTATAATGGTGTACCGATGACCATGCATTCACATGTCGTACAAAATCTAGATAAACATCATGAAACTGGTATGGTTTATTGGAAATATTTGTAAACATTAATTTATTTATATTAATTGCTTAGATGTATATCAGGTCATTTATTTATGAAAAGTTGTATCTAGTTTGAAGAATGGGAACTTGGAATACTTATAAACAAAAAGTTATCTTAATCGCATTACACATGTTTCAATTTACCTACGTGTTGTGAGCTTGCCATATTATGTAACAGATTTAAGTTTAAGTTTTGTTTCATAAAACATTTAAACATAGTAAGGTTGACGTTAAGACATGATTTTGTCTATGATAATCGGGTGGCTGCAACTCGTGCATGGTAGGAAACTTAATATTTCAGCAAGTAGAAGACCTGGATACTTCGTATCTTGTGTGCAGATGTCTCATCTGATGAAGTTTCTCAGTTTTGGTATGCAGTTTTGTTAGCATTTGCATGTAGATTATTTGGCCCTCATAACGGTTCATTGACTAAAACTTATGCATAGTGTACAATTTAAAATTTGTGTTTTGGTAAGATTAAAGGAAATCATAAACGACAAGTCATTGATATATGTTATTATTATTACATTTTCACGGATCCGATGTTATTTGGCACTGCATCTTCTGTGATGGTTCATTCACCTTGAATATTTTAGAAAAACAAATGATATGGGGTATCCATCCATGACACAAAATCAGTACATGCACAGCAAATAATAATCAAATGCTTCGCTGGGCGCAGCTTGATACGACCGCAGAGGTCGAACCCTGAACAGTTGGGGCAAGTATGGACACAACATTCAAGCTTGATACAGCTCTGAATTTGGATTGTGATTAAATATTTGACACAGCATAGGTTTCTGACACAGAAAGAATGTAGTATGAGAACTTGAATTTTTTTAATTTACCTATTATGGTCCAATGTCCAAAATCAAAATACATGGTTAGATTCAGCATATCAAAGAACCCCATATATTCAATTTTTGTTGAAATCAAACAAAGTTTAATTTTGGACCCCAATTTGGACCAACTTGAAAACTGGGCCAAAAATCTAAAATCTAAATACATGTTTAGATTCAGCATATCAAAGAACCCCATATATTCAATTTTTGTTGAAATCAAACAAAGTTTAACTTTGGACCCCAACTTGGACCAACTTGAAAACTGGGCCCATAATAAAAAATCTAAACACATGTTTAGATTCAGCATATCAAAGAACCCCAAGAATTCAATTTTTGTTAAAATCAAATTAAGTTTAATTTTGGACCCTTTGGACCTTAATGTAGACCAATTAAAAAAACAGGACCCAAAATTAAAAATCCAAATACACGGTTAGATTTGGCATATCAAAGAACCCCAATATTTAAATTTTTGATGAAATCAAACGAAGTTTAATTTTGGACCCTTTTGACCTCAATATGAACCAATTTGATAGCGGGGTCCACAAATAAAAAATCTAAATACATGGTTAGATTCAGCATATCAAAGAACCCCATATATTCAATTTTTGTTGAAATCAAATAAAGTTTAATTTTGGACCCCAATTTGGACCAACTTGAAAACTGGGCCAAAATTAAAAAATCTAAATACATGTTTAGATTCAGCATATCAAAGAACCCCATATATTCAATTTTTGTTAAAATCAAACAAAGTTTAATTTTGGACCCTTTGGACCTTAATGTAGACCAATTTGAAAACTTGACCCAAAATTAAAAATCTAAATACACGGTTAGATTCGGCATAACAAATAAATAAATGTGGTCAAAGATTTTACAAATCTAATGCGCCATAATGTGCAATTAAAGATTACTTCTTGAAATTTTTCAATATTTGAAATTTGAAAAAAAAATAATATTTGAAGAATAATTCTTTTTTATTTCTGAAATCTGAAATGAGAAAAAATTGACCCCCCACAATTTCTTTTCCCCCCCCCCCCCCCTTTTTCCCCCCAAAATATTATTTCCCTCAAGATATGGTCATAATCTCAATTCAAATTTCCAATGGAGTTTGCAACCATAATTACCCATTTAAATTTACCATAGTGCTAACTTAATCTATTTTATATTAGAATTTAAAATATAGTGTCAGATCTTTCATATGGATTGTTTTGTAAAAAAAAAGATGCAACATTTGCAGATATTTTTACTGGTCTTCCTTTATAAATATTCATTTCTTTAAACATAATTTAAAAGCAGTGTAAGGGAAGTAACCAAAATGTTGTATTTGGATTACCTCCCTTACACTGTTTTAAGTTATCTTAATTGTTCATTAACCATTACTTTATACATAATTTAAAAGCAGTGTAAGGGAGGTAATTTCAATGATGTATTTGATTTATCTCCCTTACACTGCTTTAAATTATGTTTTGTACTAAAGTATTTGTCCATTAACCAGGACAACCTTGTTTTTCCCCCTTTTTTGCCCCTAATTCCTAAACGGTTTGAGCCATAACCCCCCAAAGCAAATCCTAACCATCCCTTTATGGAATGGAAACTTGTAGTATAATTTCAGAGAGATCCATACACCATTCCACAGTTATTGTATTATAACAAAAAGTAGGTTGATATTCGTGTAATGTAACATGGTCTGTTAACTGTTCTTTTCCCTCAGACTCTCAACAGACGAACTACATCTGTGAGAGCTGATACTGGGTCTTTACATGTTGGGGGAAACTAGCTTAGAACAATGCCTTTGATGGTGTATGGCATTGCTGCCGATGTAAAGGCAGGCCGGGCGTTGTTGCCAATATAGAGGCAGGCCGGGCGTTGTTGCCGATGTAGAGGCAGGCCGGGAACAACAACAGGAAAGAAAACCAAACTAGATTGTCAAGAAACTCGCTATTAATATTATAGCGGCTTGATCGGTTTATATACTAAGTTTTGAATGTCCTAGTAACCCTTAACTGACTATAACAAACAAAAGAATTTATGATTTATGAGTTATCAATAAAATTTAGAATGCTCAAATATAGTTATGGTCTAAGATTAGGTCGAAATTACACGTCACATAAAACTGGTTTTTCTTTCATCTCTTCAATTTCTTATTCTAAAATTGCCAACCTATGTTTCGAATATATTTATTACCATTTCCCTAACTATAATATAAAACAATTACAACGTAGATCCATATAACATAGTATAAAATAACATTATAAATATTAATCCGGATCTTAATCAAAAGTAATTATGGAACTAGTTTGTGCTTTATAGCTTAACACAAACAAAGCTGCTGATGTGAGTTGACCGTTGTCTGAACTTTTAAGATGTTTTATTAACTTTGCTGGACATATAATCGAAGGTCCATTTGGCCACAGCTGAAGTTTTATTGCACAGATACGTTCAATAGTTTGTTAAAGTATTTATTTGACATGTTTGAAATATCCTACGCTTTGAAAATGTATAGAACAGTTAAACAATAATTTTGTATAAAAAAGTTTACAGAGTAGAACTTACATACATTAACTAATAAACTATATGAAATAAAATAAACTGCATTTTTCTATTACAATAATATAAAACGTGATAAACATAAAATCGAAGGAATAATTGTAACGTCATCTATATCCAAAATTTATGTAAAATATCTGTCACAATAATTGTCTGGAAACTAGAAAATGTTTATTTTTGGCTGCTAATTCCTTAACTGTTGGTACCATAACCCCCAAAATCAATCCCAACCTTCCTTTTGTGGTATTCAACCTTATGGTAAAATTTCAAAGAGATCCATTCACTTAAACTAAAGTTAGAGTGCGAAAACCAATGTGTCTTCGGACAACGACGACGACGACGACGACGACGCCAACGTCATACCAATATACGACCGCAAATTTTTTTGCGGTCGTATAAAAAGCACCACAAAGCAAAGTAACAGCGCTTTTATTGTTGTTCTTTATCTCAAAATCACAGTGAGGCCTTCAACACGGAGAAAAAAAACTCTCACCTCACTGCAAGTTTAAGACGGCTCCTAGCACTGGCTTGAGCGGAATTCTTAGCAAAAATAATTTGGATAGACTCTGCATACTTTATAAAAATACGAAGATGTGGTTTGATTGCAAATTAAACAACTCTCCATAGGAGACAAAATGACATAGAAATTCAGTGTTCCAGCTAGGATTTCAAAAGGGCAGGGAGCCAATCATGAAAAGGGCACTTTAGCACGATGATTGATATTTCAAAAAGGGCATGTCAAACATATATATGCATTGTCTTATGTTAACTGCAGGGGTTTCAGCTAGGAGTTTTGAGGGGGTTTAGTCACTTTTATGCTAGATGAAAATAAACCTTATTTTGGGTAACAGTATTAAAGGGATCATGCAAGGACGTATATTACAAGCTCGATCAGTCTTCCCTAGAACAATTTTGTGTCTAAGGTCTAAAGGTTAAGTTGCAATGCAGAGCGCAGCGGCGTTTTGTAGGATTATTTTTATTTCATTAGTGAAATGAATTGTGCATGTCAGTTAAAATACTACACTAGATCTGCAATACAGTCGGGAACAATACCTTACATTTTCTCCAGGGGCCAACCTGGATCCCAAAACTTTTTTCCAAGGGCCCAGTAGAAATTTTAAGGCCCTACCAGCTATTTTTACTACAGGTACATACTTATTAATAGTCTTGAATGTTCTTATAAAGGCAATAATATATGTTTGAAATGCCTAATACATGTAGCCCAGTGTTTCTGATTATGATAGAAATAATCAATGAATTATAATAAACCACCTTGAGTTTTTCAGAATTAAAATCCATTTAACCATATCTTTTCAGACTGTTAAACTTATATTTGTAATATTATACATAAAAAAATATATAAAAAATCCCCCCCCCCCTTTTCCATTTTACACACCCCTAGATGTAGAGTATTAAAGTATTATCAGTTTCACCCAAAGAAAGTATTCATTTTTAATGAAATAATCTTAGCAGTTAATCAAAATGAAAATCTTACTGTCTATAAATAACAATGAAATGTAACTGTTTTCTGTTAAAGGGGTTTTCCAAATTTTCCCGCCAAAAAAGCACATGGCTTTCAACAAATGTAAACAAAGCAGTCAATTTGTGATCATGGATAACGGCTTTAATTAATTTAATTTGGATATAGATATTCAATGAAAGGTACAGTCAAGCATTGTTTTTACTTTCTTCTGGATTGAAACTACTTTAGAAGATCAATTTATAAAAAAAATCTTTGACATATAAACAATTACAGACGATCTACATGCAGATACATCACACGCAAATTGTCATCTTTTGAGAAATATTGAAATTGAAATGCTGACTGACCAAATTTAATGAGAAAAATTATTACAATGGTCAATTATGAAGTTTAATTAACAGATTAATGACCCATCCGATGTTGATAATCGGATTATCTGTAATCACAACGTATTACACCTGCTGAAATGTTAATTAGCTGAGGGTCATAAACTTTTCATAAATATGAAGACAGGTAGAATAGTTGTATTTTCATCAAAATATTACGGCAATAAAGGCATGGACTTACGAAAAAGGTCAGGGCGTCTTTAAAAGGGCACAGGGCGTCAGAAAAGGGGCACAGGGCGGCACTCGGGAAACGGCGGGCGGACCGTACTGTGAAAACGACCTAGCTGAAACACTGAAATTAACAACTATAGGTCAATGGTTTTGTTGAGACCTTGGTCCGTTCTCAAAACTGTAGTTCTTAGTGGAAAATAAATTATAGTTGATGTGTTTCCCTCGGTTTTGGTTTGTGACCCGGATTTGTTTCAATTAAATGATTTATGACTATTGAACAGCGGTATACTAGTGTTGCCATTATTTAGCCAATTAATGTGTTTTTAAATGTAACTGTCTCGTTTCTGGAGATCGTGGATACCATTTTAAGGAAGACTTGGTATTTGCCATTGGTTTATACTAGGCCAGGGACATTCTATACTTAGTATTGACTGTCCCTGTAGGCCAAGGGGATATCATTTTGTGAGCCTTGCACGCTGTACCATTAGTGTCTACTTATAAGTTACCACAAAGTCGGCTCTCATATTGACACTGGTGCACAATTTTCCTATTTTCTTCTAATTTTCCTTAATTGAATGTTTTGTGTAGTATTTATACAGACGTGATAGATTATAAGATGTCATTTGAGGGTCTAATTGGGCTCTTAATTTTCTTTATCTTTTTAAATATTTTTGTGAAATATTTTCTATTTTTTTTTCTCTATTCCTGTTTTTTTTTATTTTGTCTATTGTTGTCTATTATTTATATTAAAACACACTCTTATTTTTTTATTCTGATATTTTTTTATATACATAAGCACCCCTTATTCTCTATTTTTAGCCTATTATTTATTATGTAAACTTCACCCGGAACCTCTGATATGCTTTCTTTGTAAAACTTTCCCAATTGTTTTTTTTAATTCTTTCAATTGTTCCAAAATAAACAGTTATTAAATGACTTAAAAATAACGTCTGTTTGTGTGTTATTCACCTTGGTGATCAAGGTAATTAATTCTTAAGCCTGTTAGTGGGACATTTAATTCTTTTACCAAAGATCTGCACGGCCTAGAACATAAAAGTTCGGTTCGGTTGACTGTTGCCATGATAGTTCTGCAGCAACAAATAGGCACTCTTCGCAATTCTATAATTAAACTAAATATGTGAATCAATTGGAACGATAAAAGGCAATTGTCCATATTTGAATCGAAGTGCAGATTTAATAAATAAAACGATTTTTCATCACACAAATTTTTATTTATATTTTAGATTTTTATTTTCATACTATTTAACTTTACTTTTCCAAAAATGTATCGCGTTTCAAATAGATGAGGATGCTGATGGGTCAAATTTTTTTGTGGGATATATTACACACATAGGAATATACATTTAACTGTTAGTGCATGTAATGTGACCATGCTTAATTTGTTCTACACCAACACGATGGTTTTGATTTTCGTTCCAATTCAAAAAGTAAACCTCCGCAGAAATTCAAACCACCTCCCCTCAATGCTTGGAGAGTCAGGAAATACCATTTTTTTTTAATATTTTGGCTTGACCCGGCTGGGCATCAAACTCACGACATGTATCATCGATTTATTTTCTTATTCAAATTTTGAAAACGATTCTATAGATGTTCAATATGAAATGTATTCATATGTATCAGAGATTTGTTGACACCTGTGCAAGAGGAAACACTAATTGCTTTTTAAAGTTATTTAAACGTTTATAATAATCCAATCAGTTTATTATTATATTGTAATATATATAAATCACACACGTATCACTACGATGAACTCCTCTGCTGGTCAACAGTCAACACAGACAAACTGGAAACAAATTGTTTCGAAGGGAAGAATCGCCATGCTTACTTCGTAACTCTATAGTAGGAAGTCGTTCCTGGTTTTTGGGAAAGATACTTACGTGAAATACGTCTACCAACACTAGTGTAGAATGATTATGTAAAATAAGTATATAAATTAACAGATAAAAGTACTTACCAAATTATAGTTCTGCTTCGGTTTGTATTTTAATTCTTTTTTTTGAATTTTGCCAGTTAAAGAATTTGGATGTATTTATACAACAATATAGAAATTAACTAAAGTAAAATTAAAATAAACTTTTAAATCTTTCTAACAACAAATTCTCAATGCCATTGTGAGCTAAGATTTTTTTTTAAACACCCCCCTTTTTTCTTACCTTTGTTTACTTGGTCGGTACACACCATATAACTCCTGATATATATATATATATAAATCTTTCGTAAACACCTACCTTTTATCCTGTTTGTTGTTATTCCGCAAAGACCACAGCCAGTATACTATTGCCGATAATGAATATAGTACAACACTTTAGGTCAAAAGTAGTACCACTGTGGTCTTTGGGTTGTCCACACCTACCCCATAGCCCATAAAAGGGTTAGCGGGGTCGCTATTGGTGAGGGCCCAAAAACCGGGAACGGTTTCCTGAGTGTAAAAACTCAAGAGGGTTACGAAGTACAAGCGTTATTCAACTTGAGTGTTTTTTCACCTTCGAAAGAATTCGCTTCCAATCAGTCATTTTCACGACCGACCAGAAGGGGAGTTGTCAAAGTTCCGACGAACACAGAGCGATCCGAGGTTTAAATACCTGTACTGTCGTCATGATACTAAAAATAAACAAACAATTGTAGGCGTAGACATTTATCGGGTCATTTCGTGTTTAAACACATGTTTCCTTGTAGATTCTATTCGGATACTATCTAACTTTACTATGTTCCTAGTTCGAATATTTTTTGCTGACGTTACAATTTTTATTTCGGAAACTTTCTTCTTTTATCCAAAACTAGCTGATATAATGAATTGCACAACAAAAATCAATAACATGGTAAATAGGCCAAACCAATAATTCTTCGTTTAGCAGAAATGGTTTTGGTAAACTCACAACTACACATGTATTTCCTGGCCAATTGGTCAAGTAATCTCATACCCTATATTATTGCATGCATTACAATCAAACGGACATCAAATTTCGATCGTCATGTTTATGTAATGCTATTATTACTAATAAAATTGAGAATGGAAATGGGGAATGTGTCAAAGAGACAACAACCCGACCACAGAACAGACAACAGCAGAAGGCCACCAACAGGTCTTCAATGCAGCGAGAAATTCCCGCACCCGGAGGCGTCCTTCAGCTGGCCCCTAAACAAATATATATACTAGTTCAGTGATAATGAACGCCATACTAAACTCCAAATTGTACACAAGAAACTAAAATTAAAAATAATACAAGACTAACAAAGGCTAGAGGCTCCTGACTTGGGACAGGCGCAAAAATGCGGCGGGGTTAAACATGTTTATGAGATCTCAACCCTCCCCCTATACCTCTAGCCAATGTAGAAAAGTAAACGCATAACAATACGCATACTGACCTCATGTAACACATGTATCTTTGTCTGATTGTTCAAATAAAATCTTGAAATCTTAAAAAAATAGAGCTACAAATGTATTTTGTCACTGCACATAGTTTTCAAAGAAACAGAAGACTTGCCCTGTTACAAATATATGAACCTAGTTATTACATTTTTACCGTGGTTGACGTGCTTCTTGAGTTTGCTGTGTTTGATGAATAATATGAAAAGTTATATAACATTACTATATATTTGTTATATAGCCAGGAGTTGATCGATTCCTAAAATAAAAATTATATAATTTCTCTAGATCTGTACTAAATCAATAGTGACGATCAATATGTTTTAACAGGTTTTCAAAAATATTTGATATCCATTTGCCGCAAAGTTGGCTATTTCTTTATTTTTTTTTATATCTATCCTTCTTTCTATTTGTATATATATATCTTTTTTTTTTGTTTGGATGCCTGCATCTAGATTTTCTTTTTTATAACGTAAAATTATATCATATTGTATTGGTTGTTTGGAAATTTTGTTGATACATGGCCCGGTACCTAGATGCGGATCCAGAATATTGAAAAAGGAGGGCCCTGAGATGCCAAATTTTAGCGTGATATACTTGTAAAATGTCTATAGAGGCATTTATCATACATGAAACTTCATAGGGGTGTCCCCACATTTGCCCTGACCTAAATCAGCCTCAGTCTCGTATCTGAAAAGTTTAATCTTTTCAATTGGAGAATTATTCCACCAGTCAGTTCAGCAAATCAGTATGCATATGTGTAATACGTCCTTATAAATTAATGTCACACATAGCTGTCTGGAATATTAAGAAAACATTCAAAAATAGATAGAAGGTACAAAGGGACAAAGGGACAATTAAAGTTGAAAAATAAACAATGTTAAAAGAAAATGGCGGAAAATTAAAATTAATACGATAAAGAATTATCGGACGGTATACAAGCATACCGTGTGAAAAAGCGTTGTCAAACAAAACACCTACCGAAAATCAATATGTAATTTGTATAACTGTAAAATGACATAAGATTAAAATTAGCGGTAAAACAATTTCTACTAACTAGATGATTTTGTATACTTAATTAAAAATATTTTTACAGATGGCAATTAACAGTGTTTTTCTCTTTCATATTATGTAATCATCGATAATAACTGACCCATTCATTGACCAGAAAGTATAGATTTGATTTGATGTTTACTTATTAATACCATATGGAAGTATTATATTGACCATATAA